GGAGGCAAGGGGCGGGGAGGGGGCGGAGCGAGGGCCCAGGCCGAGTCACTTCCGGAGGCGGCCAGGGGACTTCCGGCGCAGGACGGGCTCCCGGGGAGTCAGGGCGGAAGGTACGAGGGAAGGGCGGAAGTGGCTTCTGCCCTGGGAAGACGTTTGCGAGGCGGAGGTGACGTCGCGACGCCGGAAGTGGCGCGGAGTTAAGGGCGGAAGCCCCGCACTGCAGCTTCCGGGAAGGAGTGGGGGCGGGCGGCGCGGCGGGCTCATGAATTATGCACCAAGGTAGGAGGGGCGGCGTGGGTTCTGAACACTGGGGGGGGCCGGGGCTTCGGTGTGCGCATGCCCCGCTGACGGGGCTCGAACCCCGGGCTGGACGCCGTCCTTCAGACTTTTCAGTCAAGGCTGGCGCTCCACCACTTGGGTCACAGCTCCCGCCCAGCTTTTTGCTGGCTCCTTGTTGATCCGAGTCTCAGGGCCTTTCCTGCCCAGGCCGGCTTCGAACCGCGATCTCTGATCTCCTGGGTGGCTAGGCTCCCCGGCCTGAGCCCCTAGGCTCTTTGCTTTGAAATGTGAACACTCACTGCTGCCCGACGTCCTCTCTGCTCGCCTCCTGCACCAAGGTACGCCCTTCCCTGCTGGGTCCCCACACCCTGGTCCTCACGGACTTGTCACAAGCTGCAGTTCATTACAAACGCCTGCTGTAAAGTGTCCCAGGAAGCCTTCCCTGATTGCTCCAACCCAAACATGGTCTCGATTCCCACAGCCAGCATTCGTCTACAGCGCCCTTCATCCCCCCACCCCCCAACACCCACCCCTTAATAACGAGGTGTGAGCTCATGCTCCTTTTGCTTGCTTGCCTGGATGGTGCTGTACAGTTGAGGCTTGCCCTCCAGCTCGGTTTTTGCTTGTCGATCCTGGGGCTTGAACTCAGGGCCTGAGCTTTTCGCTCTAGGCTGGTGCTCTACCACTTTGAGCCATAGTACCGCTTCCAGTTTTTTTGGTGGTTCACTGGAGATAAGAGTTTCACATACTAGCCTGGCACCCGTGGCTCACGCCTGTCATCCTAGCTATTCAGGAGGCTGAGAACTGAGGATCACAGTTCAAAGCCAGCCCAGGTGGGAAAGTCTGTGAGACTCTGATTTCCACTGAACCACCAGAAAACTAGAAGTGGTGCTGTGGCTCAAGTGGTAGAGCCCTCGCCTTGAGCTGAAGAGCTCAGGGACAGCACTCGGAGTTCAAGCCCCACAACTGACCGAAAAAAAAAAAGGAAAAAAAAAAACCCACTTTCCTGCCCAGGTGGGTTTTGAACTAATATCCTCAGATCTCAGTCTCCTGAATAGCTAAGATTACAGGCGTGAGCCACCAGCGCCCCCCTTAGTCTATACTTTAATGGTGTTTTAGCTATTTCATGTTTGTGATTTCTCAGTAAGATTGTCAGCATCTCCGAGAAGAAACCTTTCGCAAGCTTGAAGACATAACAGATGCGGAGTAACTATATATTGTTCCAGTAACTGAGGGCTGCTGCAAACCTGCGTCCTCATCTGCTCAGAAACCCACTGGGCTCAGCTGTGTTTTGGTTAGAGCAGAATTAAGGTCCCTCTTCTCAACAGTAATGGCCCCTGGGGGAGAAGGAAAAATTTTCCCTAACAAATAATCGTGCCTATCTTTCTAGATTTCAAAAATAAGACTCAGAAGGTTTATTTTGTACCAGGTACCAGGCCTGGAAGCTCAGCCTCATATTCTCACTTGGCTTTTTCTCTTAAGGCTAGTGCTCTACCACTTGAGCCACACCTCCACCTCTGGCTTTTTCATGGTTAGCTAGAGATAAGAGTCAGAGTCACTGATTTTTTTTCAGATTTTATTTTTTAAGATCTCAGTGTCTGAAGGAGCAAGGATTACAGGCATGAGCTATGGCACATAGCTGGATTTTTTTTTTCTTTTTTGTGGGGGCAGTCATGGGCCTTGAACTGTTGGCTTGGGAACTGTCCCTAAGTTATTCAGCTCAAGGCTGGCGCTCTACCACTTTGAGCCACAGCACCACTTCTGGTTTTCTGGTGGTTCATTGGAGATAGGAGTCTCATGGATTTTCCTGCTTCAGCTGGCTTTGAACTGTGATCCTCAGATCTCAGCCTCCTGAGGAGTTAGGAGGACAGACACCAGCACCTGTCTTAATCCTTAGGAGGCAAAGATCCAACTATTTGGGCTGACTTAAGGCTAGGTCAGCAAAAAAGGAAAAGAACTCAGGGCCTGGGCACTGTCCCTCAGTTCTTCAGCTCAAGGCTGCCATTTGAGCCACAGCGCCACTTCCACCCTTTTCTGCTTATGTGGTGAATCAAACCCAGGGCTTCATGCATGCAAGGCAAGCTCTTGACCACTGAGCCACCTGCCCAGCCCAGGAAAAGAAAATATTGATGAGATCTCATTTTAGCCAATAGCTCAGTGTCACCCCAACCATTTTGGGGATGGAAATCTGGAGGATTGCAGTTCCAAACCTGCCTGGGCAAAGTTCTCAGAATCTCATCTCAACAGAAAAAAGCTAGATGCAGAGATGCATGCCTGTCACCTAAGGTATCATGGAAAGCCTAAACTAAGAGGAATTGTGATCCAGCCTGGGCCAATAGCAAGACCCTGTCTCCCAAATAATGTAAGCAGAAAGTAGCAGAGGCATGTCTCAAAGGATAGAGCGCCTGTCTGGCAAGCAGAAAGCTCTTGGTACAAACCTAGGACCAACAAGAAAAAAAAGACAAAAGCAACAGCCAAATAGTAATAATCACTTTACCTTCAGGTTCTCCTGTGCCTAACGCCTCTGCTATATATAAGTGGCAAGTTTGTGTGTTTCAATCCTGGAGCTTGAACTCAGGGCTTAGGTGCTGTCCCTCCCCCCCTCCCTTTTCTTTGTGGGTAATGGGGCTTGAGCTCTGGACTTGGGCCCTGTCCCTCAGCTCTTCAGCTCAAGGCTGGTGCTCTACCACTTGAGCCACAGCGCCACTTCCGCTTTTCTAGTGGTCTATTGGAGACAAGAGTCTCATGGACTTTCCTGCCCGGGCTGGCTTTGAACCATGATCCTCAGATCTCAGCCTCCTGAGTAGCTGGGATGACAGGTGGGAGCCATCAGTGCGTGGTGCAGATCTGAAGTTCTTTAAACACCACAAAGCTTTGGAGCCCTCACCGAGGGGCGGAGGGGGAGGAGGACTGAGCAGTCATTTTAATCAGGGTTCCCAGCTGGCCCGATTTCCATCTTGAATCATTCCCACACTAGCTCTGGGCCTGGGAGTTCCCTCCTCACTGGGATTTCCCCAATCTGAGTCGATCTGAGCTGCCACGGTAAGTATTCCAGTTGGGCGCAGGCTGGCTGAGTCATTTGGTACTGAGAAACTGTGCCTGTTACCTAGTGTCCAAGAACTTTCTAGGGCCAAGCCCCGCGATCAACAAGAAAAAAAACGGGGGGACAGTATGGTCATTGCTGTGTGTGTGTGTGTGTGTGTGTGTGTGTGTGTATACATGCCAGTCCTGGGACTTGACCTCAGCACTCTACCACTTGAACCACGACTCCACTTCTGGCTTTTTGCTGTTCAACTGGAGCTAAGAATCTCATCAGCTTTTCTGCTACCCAAGCTGGCTTCGAACCATGATCCTCAGACCTCTCCGTCTCCTGAGTTAGCGGTGATAGCAAGCGTGAGCTCCCAGGGCCCGGCTAAAGTCTCTTGTTTTAACTCTAGGAGAAAAGGCCGTTCCTCAGGGCTGCGTGACGGTTCATCTTCATCTGGGATCATTTCTCTAGAACAATCCACAAGCCCAGGGTTTGTCCCCTTTCTCCTCTGTCGTTTGGAAGGAGGTACTGAGGAACAAGGACCGGGTAAGGATCTGGTGTCCTGCTGGTATATTCTAATTTATTTCAATTTGGGGAAACAGTCTAATCAGGCGGTAATTATTTCCCTCTTCATTAGGGGCCTTCGCGTGTGCCTGGTGCATATGCATGAGCCCCAGGTCACAATGTCCCTCGGAAAAGGCTGCTGAAGGTGACAGTACTTGAAAGTGCCTCCCTGTGTCAATACCCGCCCCCCAAGACTTGATTTCGGGGGGAATACGGACCCATCCACTCCCACAGCAGCCCTCGCCTTCAGCTGGGTTGATCGAGCCCACCTCAGTGAGCACGAGCCCACAACCTCTGTTTTGTGCATTTAGTGCCAGTACTGGGACTTGAACTCAGGGCTGGGCACTTCTCACTTGCCTTTTTAATCTTTCTTTTCTTTACTCAGGTTGGTACTCTACCACCTGAGCCACACCTCCACTTCAGGCTTTTTGCCAGTGCACCGCAGGTGCAGACTCTCCTGGACTTTTCCTACCCAGGCTGGGTTCAACCCACCCTCCTCGGATCTCCCCTTTCTGAGTCGCTGGGATTACAGGCATGCGCCACCGTGCCCCGCTTCCTGTCATTGCTTGATCACTCTTCGCCTTAATTCTCTTCCCTGAGGGGAGTCTGGCACCTTCAACAGGCACACTGCTCCAGTCCGGAATAATACCTCTGCAATGAGACACAGCCTCACTCCCCCACCCATAAAACAACACCTACCAACACATCTGCATCCTGACTTCCAGCCCTTAAGAGAGGCAGGTACAGCCCTGGGCTGCCCACACTGCCCTCTGGCGCGCGCACACACACATACACACACACATACACCATGGTCTCCTATCCCTCCTTGGGGGCTACCCTATTTCTAGGGAGCAGGTAGGGGCATAAATGGGGAGAGGGGAAGGAACTGGGGTGGTTACCATGACAATGGAGCCTAGCAACAGCTGAGAAGCTGATGTGTAGGCTATAATGGAGGCTTCAGAGGTGACTGATCCCAGCTGGGCAGCCTGCGTGCCCTCCCCCCAACACACCCCGTAATTCCACCCCCGTACCCCAGCAAGTGCCTCTTTCTCAAGCAAGGGCAGAGGAGGAAAACTAATCAGCTGGCCACAGGGCTTCTCAGGAGACTTTTTTTTTGGGGGGGACAGCTGCAAATGGGGGCCAATTAGCAGGCAAGGACAAAAATAAACAAAGCGGGCCAAGCTTGCTCGTCCATCTCCTCTGCACCATCTTTCTCTTCTCCACCCGTCCTAGAAGTTCTCCGACTTCTTTGCTGGCGTGCGCGTTGCCTGGCCTATATAATTACCCCTCCCTCCGTTTCTCTTGACCTGCACAGACAGGGAACCACAGAGGCACACTTCCGATTCCAGTTCTGGTTCTTTCCATTTCCAGACTGCGCATCCGCACCCCTCCCTCCGCTTTTTCCTACTTCTCCTATTCTATCCCAACCGGAAGATGCCCATGGAGGCTGAGATCTGAGGATCGCAGGGCAAAGCCAGCCTGGGCAGGAAAGCTCCTGAGAGTCGTCTCCAGTTAAGCAGCAAATTGCCAGAATGGAGGTGTGGTTCAAGTGGTAAAGCATCAGCCTTTTTTGTTTTTGGGAGGGGGAACCTAAGGGATAGCATCCAGGCCCTGAGCTCAAGCCCCAGTATAGACAGACAGACAGACACACACACACACACACGATCGCCATCAGTCCCATTCAGCTGGCACAGGTCATGTCCAGCCAGACCCTTCTCCCTCTCCTCCCTGCCTGCCCTGCCCCTCCTCTTCCTCTTCCCAACTGCGCACTCAGAGTATCTTGCAAAGGCTTTATTGGAAAATTCTGAAACTTAACATCCCACAAGAATTCAAGGTAATCACCACGAGAAGAGAATACAAAAATATATATCACAGCGAGGAGCCAGG